TGTTATAAAATAAAGACTATAAAGTAAAGACAAGTATAGAGAGAAACTGATATATTATTCGAATTCAAACTCATGTACATAATGAACTGAAATCTCTTCTATTTATAGAAGAAAGGAAGTTGCTACGCAAGCTGCTGTGTAAGCTGCTATTACAAGCTGCTGTGTAAGCTGCTACGCAAGCTGCTGTGTAAGCTGCTACTGCAAGCTGTTGTGTAAGCTGCTACTATACCAGACATGGATAATCTTCTACCTAGGGTAATGTTTATCCATAACCGGGAATCGAAGTGATAAGCTTCTTCAGGAAGCTTATTTCCAATAGAGTACTAAATAGATAAATATATTTACGGTGGAGTCACATATGGATAAGCTTTTTCAGGAAGCTTATTTACAACGAAGTACTAAATGAACATCCATTTTTTTATAGTAGAAATATATAGTAGAAATATATATAAAACAAAATATTAAAGGAAATATGTAGAGAATGCCTTGGCAAAACCCGTATATATATAACAAAATATACTCTCTTTTTCTTCCCAGTTCCCTCGAAATAAATTTGACCTAATCCTTAAACCTAGCAAAACTGGGGCACAATTCTCGAACTGAAATTGAATTGTAGCTGTAAGTAAGTAACGAAGAAAGAATGCCGTTGAAGGTGTTAGACGCCACCATAGCAACTTTTAATGGCGTCTTTGAGAAGTTCAGAGCAGAGGCGCCCCAAAACAAAGCAAATTTCATCCTATTCTTGGCTGATATAGACCCTTCTACCAACCTTAGTTGGTGCCCTGGTAATTTCTGTACTATTCTATCGTTATATGGAATTAATTAATAATGTACCCTGTTTTACTTTTTTGCAATTAATTGAGTGTTGTGGAGAAGCTTCTATAATCTATCTTAGGTTTTTGTTTGCACTTCCCTTCTCTTTTTGTTTTACAAAAAGAATTTTATGTAATTTTTGTATAATTGCCGTTGAGTTTGTTGGTGCATTGGTGGTCTTGAATCTTAACATACGAGGAACTGAAATTGGATTTGAAAAGCTAGCTTTTGATCCTGGTGGTAAACTTGATAGCCGATGTTTAAGAATGTATTATGTCAAGTAAATAGGATGGTGGCGTTTCTTCAGGTGATTATTACTTCTAAGTAACTCTTTTTGTTCTTAATACTTTTAAGGGCGACATATTCCTATATGCTAAAACTTTAGTCAGTTTTGAGGTCAGTTCATTTTAAACTGGTTTTTTGTAATCCATTTCACCTATTAAAGTTCAATTCGAAGAGTCGTATGAGCTAGAGAATCCTAAATGATGATGTTATTTTAGTATATCAATTTTATGGGTTCATAGAATTTCTGTTGGTATATGTTTAAATTATTTTTAGATATAACACAAAGTGGCTGAATTCTGAACAATTTTGTTCAAATATACAGTCTAATGATCATCATGGTCTACCACGAGCTCTACCGTCTTCTCAGCTCATGGTATAGTATGGTCTATTCATGATGATTGGGCCTACTGTAGGATTAGCTTGAGGTTTGTCTCTACTGTTTAGTGGGGAGTAACTAAGATCTGTCATCTTTTGACTTAAGGAAGAATAAACTTTTTCGGTCATTCTAGTTCATTTGATGTCAAATAGAAACTTTTGCCAGTAAACACTATCCAAGAAATTAATTTATAAGTTAGCGAGTATGCCTTTAATTAGAGCTGGTCTTGAAGTTATTAGATTCATGCGGAGTGAGGAGAGGCGTGGAGCAAACCTCTCTCTTTGTGTTGAGACACGTCTTCACATGCTCTGACTTTCATTATGATCAAGGGAGAGGTACGATCAGCTTTCCATCTCTAACTGACTATAATAGGATATACTTAAAAAAAATTCACAAGCATGGTGATGTGGTACAGGGAGCAAAATGACTCTTATTGTTGGACTAGAACCTGTGGAACTCCCCTTGAGATGAAGGCATTGTCAAAGTACTGACTGTTAATGTTCTCTCGTTCAAGTATTATTGTGTTTCTTTTCTTTAAAATGATACACCTCTAAACGTATGAGTTATGCCTGCATCTTTGGCTAATAGTCTACCTTGTCTCTGCCAGAGGCAGTGTTATTAAAAGCGCTCGCTTCTCGCTTTAAGCGATGAAGCGAGGCGAGGCGCAATGGTAGCGCTTTTCTGGTAAAAAGGCGACTCACATTAGAAAAGCGTGCGCTTTTCTCGCTTAAGCGAGAAGCGAAGCGTTAGAAAAAGCGAGAAAAAGCTCGCTTAAGCGAGCAGAAGGCATCAACTAGGGCTTTTTTAAAAATTTTGGGCAAATAAACATATGAGCAGAAGGCATCTGTTACCAAAACATACGCTCTTCAAGGTCTTCTTCTCCAGCTCAGCGAACTCCAGCGACGACCACTGCTGCTCCAACAACTTCTTCTCCAGATCTCAGTAAGTTTCTTCTTTTTCTTCTTCTTCTTCCTCTGTTCTTTTTCTTCTTCTTCTTCTTCTTCTGTTCTTCTTCTTCTAGTCTTCTTCTTCTATTATTCTTCTTCTCTTCTGTTCTTCTTTCAATTTTTTTGACTTTTTAAGCGCTCATTTTTTGCCCTAAACGACTTCTTTTTCTTCTGTTATTAAAAGTTTCTTCTGTTATCATGATACTACTTCTTTTTCTTCTGTTATGCTCTGTTTTCTTCTGTTATGCTCTGTTTTTTGTTATTAAAAGTGCTCTTTATGCTCTGTTTTCTGTTTTCTTCTATGAATTAATTGTTTTTTTTGGTTGTTGATTGTAGTAAATTTAATTTGATTATTCAATGTCATCAAGCCAAAAAAGAGATCCAGCTTGGGCGTATGGAGTTGCAGTTGGCAATAATAACTCAAGAGTGCAATGTATCTTTTGTCAAAAAATGTATAACGGTGGAATACATCGTCACAAGAGACATCTAATCGGTGGTTTTAGAGATGTCAAAGAATGTCCAAGTGTTCCGGATACTATTAAGAAAGAAATGAGAGATTATGTTGAGAAAAAAAATGAGTTAAAAAATCCAATGAGCCATGGAGTATCTATGATTAATCTTCTTGATGAAGATAGTCAAATGGATGAGGATGACCTTGAAGTCAATGATATAATGAGGCCACCTCCCTCTAAATCTCAAAGAAAGAATTCAACAAGTGGAAGTGGATCATCCACCGCCGGTAGCAATGTGAAAGTTCCTCTTAATCTTTTTTTCTCACAAAAACCAAATGAAAAGAGAAAGGGTGAAGCTGTTGACTTAGAATCTTGTAAGAGAGTTTGAGGGAGCGCGCTGTAGATACTTTTGCAAGGTGGATGTATGATGCGGGGCTCCCTTTTAGTTGTGTGAATTACACCGATAGTTTTGGTGAATTCATTGAGGCCGTTGGCCAATATGGCCCGGGAATAAAGCCCCCTACCTATCACGAAGTAAGAGTTCCTTGTCTAAAAAAGGAGGTGGAGAAGACAAACAAGATTGTCGAGGAGCATAAGGTGCAATGGAAAGTTTATGGTTGTTCCATTATGATGGACAAATGGACTGCAAAAAATGGAAAAATGGTCATTAATGTTTTGGTGAATTCTACGATAGGTAGTGTGTTTCTTGAATTTTATGATGCTAGTGACTCCTCAAGCAATTCCAATAAAATGTTCAACTTGTTTGAGAAGACAATATTGAAAGTTGGACCGGAAAATGTGGTTCAAGTTGTCACTGATAACGCAAGTGAGAATAAAAAAGCGGATGACATGTTGAAAGGAGTTTTCCCAAATATTTATTGGACTCCTTGTGCTGCACATTGTGTCAACTTGATGTTTGGTGACATTTTCAAGTTAGCCCCATATTCTACAAGTGAACNTTCGTAAAATATAATAGAACATTGGCTCGTCGTTACAAAGCTCGCAATATCATTGATCCAATTTTATTGGATAACATTGATGAAGCAAATGAATGGTTAACCGGAGGCCCCGGAAATCATGAAGAAGAAGTGTTTGAAGGAGAAGGTCTCACTTTTGGTCATGTTGCTATGACAAGTGGAGTTGAAGAGAATGTTTATGGTTTTAGGGGAAGTACTTTAAGGAGCAAAGAAAGAGTATCTACAAGTACAAGTACATGTAAAAGTAGAACCCTAATTAAAGAAGCCTCTNGCTTTTACCTGCAAAAGCAAAATTTGCGAACCTTGTTCTTGTCAACCAAATGGAGTGAGAGTATCTATGCAAAGGAAGCTCTTGGAAAAGAAATTGCGAGATTTATTATTGGTCCATATTTTTGGAATGACACTGTTCAAGCACTTAAAGTTGGTAATCCTTTGGTTATTGTACTTCGTTTGGTGGATGGGGAGAAAAAACCACCAATGGGATACATTTATGAAGCCATGGATAGGGCTAAACAAGCTATTGAAAAGGCATTTGATCATGATAGGAGGAAATAGGAGAGTGTTTGAAATCATTGATAAAAGGTGGGATGATCAGCTTCATCAACCTTTACATGCAGCAGGGCATATTTTGAACCCCGGATTGTTTTACACAAACAATGAGAACAAGACTTTAGATTTAAACGTTTGGAAGGGGTATCATGCATGTGTTGCGAAGTTGGTGCCAGATGAAGCGATGCAAGACAAAATAGGGCAAGAGCTTGGTGTGTATATGCAAGCCGATGGAATTCTTGGATTAGCTTCGGCCATTAGAGGCAGAACCAAATTGGCACCAGGTGAGCAACTTTTTTCAATTGTTTTACTCTTTAGAGCTTTAACTTTCAAGTTATTAACTTCTAAAATAATACTTCTGCAGTTGAATGGTGGATGCAATTTGGTTATGAAGTTCCAAACTTGCAACAATTTGCTATTAGAGTTCAAAGCTTAACTTGTAGCTCATCCGGATGCGAGAGAAATTGGAGTGTTTATGAACATGTGAGAAGCTATATTACATTATTACTAGATTAAAGTTTATCTCAATTGTCCTAAGTACTCCTCTTAGTTACTTTCTACATCTTATTATGCAGATTCATACTAAGAAGAGGAACAAGCTTGAGCTAAAGAAACTCAATGATCTCGTGTTCGTAAAATATAATAGAACATTGGCTCGTCGTTACAAAGCTCGCAATATCATTGATCCAATTTTATTGGATAACATTGATGAAGCAAATGAATGGTTAACCGGAGGCCCCGGAAATCATGAAGAAGAAGTGTTTGAAGGAGAAGGTCTCACTTTTGGTCATGTTGCTATGACAAGTGGAGTTGAAGAGAATGTTTATGGTTTTAGGGGAAGTACTTTAAGGAGCAAAGAAAGAGTATCTACAAGTACAAGTACATGTAAAAGTAGAACCCTAATTAAAGAAGCCTCTGATGAAGAAGAAGATGATGATGACCAATATAATAACTCGAACATGATGACACTTCAAGAGTTTGGAGATCTTGTTGAAGAATAGGATGTTGCTCCTTTTGTGATTTTGTTTTGCATTTGCTTAATATGTTATGACTTTTGAGGATTATTCACTATCTAGTTTTAGTATCTATTATTTGCTTCTTGATTCAAGAATTGAAACATTTGCTTAATATGTTATTTTTAACGAGTTCTTAGCTCTATTTTATTTTTTTAATTTATGTGTTAAATTGCGCTTCACAGCAAAAAAGCGCGCGCTTCGTTTCGCGCTTGAAGCGAGGCCTCGCCGCTTTTTTGCGCTTAACGCTTTCCAAAACACTGCTCAGCACTGAAGAAACCTGCAGAAATGTCAGTATAGTGCTGAAATGCTCAAATTTGTTCAAAACTCAGCCGTGCTCCTGGGGATCCCGTCCAATCATCCCAACTAGTCCGTGTATCCTATACAAACTTGTCCAATGACTCAAAACACATCTAGAAGCATCAGATGTAAAAATCATGATCCAAACCAAAATATAAGCTTTCTTACATTCTAATTTCTCAAGATAGGTCTGTATCACTCTCAAACCCTTTGGACCACCTCTAAATCATTCCAACAAGTTCAAATAACCTATATGGACCTATCCAAAGGCTCAAATCACGAAACAAAATGTAATCACAAAAGTCAGCTCCAAGTCAAACTTTCATTTGTTTTATTAAGATTAAGACGTCTAAATCTGAATATTAATATGTATATTAAGATTAAAACGTCTACATCTGAATACACATCTGGATGTTAAAATATTCTATTAAGATCTGAATACTGAATAATTAAAACTCTTTGTTTTCTCCACATCGGAATGTATAAAAAATTTCTTTATTTAAACAGTAATAAATATAAATTCAATCGAATAATACTGATTAATTTAATACTATATTTATAAAATATCTTAAAAAATTATATGGTGGTAAGGATTGGTAGTAATGGGTGGTGGCTAGTGGTGGTGGTAGTCTATAATGATAGGGTACATCGATAGCAGTGGTGGTTAGTGGTGAAGTGTAGGAGTTATGGCCAAATGTTATTTTTTGCATAAATTTTCTAATGTATAACATCTTAATGATATTAAGACTCTGTTATAGATCTTAATCACAATCTATTCGGACCCATTAAGTGGTTGTAAAATTAAAAAAAACTACAAGCAGACTTAATGGTTAAGATCTGGATTATTAAGATTTAGTTCTAAAAAACAAATCCACTTAATGACTGTGATCTGAACGATTAATATTCAGACCCCCATTAGGTGCAAGCAAATGAGGTCTTATGAACTCTAAAGTTTTTCAAATTGCTAATTTTTAACCAAAAGCGCCGAATCCTTCCCGCACCATCGATCACCCGATTCGAATATATGTACAAGTTCAAAATCATTATATGAACCTATAGGAACCTTCAAATCACCAATCCGAGCCCGTTTACCCAAAATATTGACTTTGGTCAACTCTTTTAACTTAAAGCTTCTAGTGAGAAACTAAGTGTTCCTAATCACTCCCGAACCTTTCAGAACCTGAACCACCCGTACGGGCAAGTCATAAAACATCAAATGAATACACGGGAAGTCTCAAATAGGGAAAGGGGATCCTAGAACTCAAAATGACCGATTGAGTCATTACACTTGCACCGATAACCATAAAGTAAATATAACTCTAGGTCTGGGAGGGTTGTTGATTATCAAATGTCTCCAATACACTCTAGGCACTGCTCCAATTAGTTGCAGGTATACATGTTTTATCATACTCCTGTTATTAGGTGTCCTGCTTTGCATATGTATAATCAATGTTCTTGCCCCTATTATCTTTCTCACCATCCAACTAGCTTGTTGAGTTATTTTCATCTGCTCTATTTCAATCCACTCAAATTTGACCAACCCACCCATTTTCCACCCCTAATCTTAGACCGTTGTAGCTAGTTCAAACATGGAATGCTTGCTTTAGCCCTTCTTAATGGAGATCTGAAGTCCTCTAGATCAATCTAGCATAACCTTATTAGCTTTTTGGCATACTTTTTTGTTATAGGATGCTATCAATTTTGTTGTCCTGGTGGGGGAAGGGTTTAGTGCAAATTGTTTCAAACGAGATTAGGATAATATTGCATTGTCTGTTGGATGAGCGTCCAGTTTTTCACTTTGACCAGAGTTCACTCTTCTTCCTTTTCTGTTTTTGTTTTTGCATCACCATGACTTTGCAAAATCAATCGGCGTAAGAATAGCTCAGTCTTTGCTTTTGTGTTATTTGGTGATTCCATATGACAACAGTTTTTTTTTTTTTTAAAGATTGTGTAAGAGCTGAACCTGTGATATACAAGAAGATGGAAGAATCAGCAGAGGATATAGCACTGCTGAGGGCTTATGTTGGAGACAGGCCTACTTGGAGGACTCCACAGCACCCATGGCGAGTTGACCCCAGCTTCAACCTCAAAGGGGTTCCAACCTTAATCCGCTGGGAAAATGATGCAACCAAAGGTCGTCTTGAAGACAGTGAAGCCCACCTTGCCCACAAAATCGATTCCCTTCTGATTGGGAATTAAGTGAAGGCTTATATTATGGCGGGACTGTGTCTTAATAATATTTGAGCAGCATGGCATGCTTTAGATTGATCTGCACTGGAATAAATGTTGTGAATATGATGGTTTCAGTATTTTGCGGAAGATGGATTTTTAAGAATGTCCCATTTTTCTTTCTCATGTCATTATTTACTCCAGGAATAATATTAGTAATTCGTAGAAGAATATCAGGACTGTTATTCCATAAAATGACGCTTTCCCTGTCCGAATTTAAAGATATAACGAGTACTACTCAATTCCAAAATCATAGTTGTTATTGACTATGAATCGTAATATAAATATTCCGCTTATAATGCTATCAATTATAAATAAGATTGAAAGTTTTTATATTAATAAAAATATCATGCAGTATATAAGCCTTAGGTATTCTATAAATTCATTTCTCCAATTCTAAATTAAGTTGGTTGAGTTAACTTCACAGTAGTTGTTTACATCCAACACCGAATGCAACAATTGAACTACCCACCAGCATCAGACCCTTCCATTTCCGTGGACGAACCCAAATTAGCCAATGCATCTGCCTCCACATTTTCCTCCACATTTACAGGGACGCTAGGAGGAATCTGAGCTCTTCTATTAGCATTATTAGAAGCACCCGATAACGCCTGTTTCAACTCTATCATCACCTAATGTTTTCGTGAGAGGTGATCCATATTGCCTTTTTGTTGCTCTCTGAAGATTTTGTCCATTTCAACAATATGTTCATCATCCACATCATCGAGAGTTGTTTCATCTCCTTCATTGCGGATTTCGCTGGTTGAATTATCACGTTGGAACACGTCCTCACGTTCATTGTGTTATCCAACATTATAGGAATTGTTGACATAATTAGCTGCCATATCTGATTTTTCTTTTGCTAAGAAAGAAATCAAAATTTGTTAGTAATAGATGAATGGATCAAAGCAATTACACTTGTCTATGCACCAAGGTGGGCGCCAAATGTTTACCCTTAAAACAGTACATTTGAATTTATAACGTGGTTTATAGACACATGAATTAATCTGATCCAACAATATAAAATAAACAAGAGTGAAATTAAGAATGTAAAAATAACTTAAAGAAATACAAGCCTGCTGATATGATGAGCTTCTCCGGAAGCAGTAGTATGAACAATATTAAGAACAAAAGAAAGCAAGTAATTTTAATTTGAGAGTAGAATAGAGCCTTTGTATACAAAATAAATTTTCGTTTGCAATAATGGATGCTAATTCTCCTATTTATAGCTATGTCTAGGGAGACAAAATACTCAAATCAAGCTCCTCTTGACTGAGAATAAAATCGTCATTGATGACTGCATAACGATTGACTATAAATGCAGATATTCTCAGTAAGTTTGTAACGCCCCAGACTTTAGACAGAGTCCCACATCGACAAAACACAAGATGGATGCTGAGTATGTAAGTTAACAAGCCTTAGACCTTAGTGACGCATGTTAAACCCGTAAGGGCCTAGGCCCAGAGTGGACAATATCACTAGCGGGCTGGGCTGTTACAGTTGGTATCAGAGCCACTCTTGTGTCAGCCTTGCCTATTATGAGTCAGAGTTCAACTGAGTTTAGGCAAATCCCGGTTAGGCGGGACAAACCTCAATGCTGAATCTAGGCAAATCCCATGCGGTGGGGCAAACCTCAGCGAGGACGCTGAGTCCATAAGAGGGAGCGTATATAATACCCCAGACTTTAGACAGAGTCCTACATCGACAAAACACAAGAGGGATGCTGGGCATATAAGTTAATAAGCCTTAGACCTTAGTGACGCGTTTTAAACCCGTGAGAGCCTAGACCCAGAGCGGACAATATCACTAGTAGGCTGGGCTGTTACAGAAAGCTGCTCATTGAATGTTATCCGATATCAATTCTTCAAATCTTTGTTATCGGTTATCATGTCATCGGAATTCATCCAGCACCGGTCATATGCTTGCAACCAGTATTGACTATTTGCTGACTCACATCCTACCTGTCTTTAGCTCCACGTGTCACCTCCTCATTCGTTCAACTGTCACTAACCAAGTTTATCATATATAGAAACGAAATGCTAAAACTCAAAATGAGGGATTGTGATGTATAGTGGTAACCCCATCTTCACCTAGTCTAGCCTAATAATTAAAATTTCCACTTATTATCGAAAAAATAATATCTTCGAGTAGGTAAAAAATCAACCTGGTAAGAATATCCCAACCTATCAAAAATCTCGACTACCATTTATCCTTTAAAAGAATTTCACTTAGAATTCATGCTTTCAACAGTGGATCTACTATTTTCAAACCCTAAGCAGTAAGAAAACAAACTAAAATGATCATTTTTCAAAACGCTGCGATGTGTTTCAAGGAAAAGAGAATAAAGATGCATTCCATAAAAATCTAACAATCTAGTATTTTTTTTCCATAGATGGATTATTTTTCTTCCACAATCAATGTCACATACATTAAATTTGATGTTGAAATTGTGAAATTCTTTTAAAATTGACAAAGATCCGGTAAAAGAAAAAATTGCAGAGTTCCCACAATATACCTATTGTATACTACAGATTTTATATACTCAATGTAAACTTAAATGTATACTCACGTATAACTCAGTGATTTGATGTTGAAATTGTGAAATTGTTTCAAAATCCGCAAAATCTTCCAATAAAAAGATCACAGAAATCCCACAATATACCTATGTCTATTTTTTTTGTGTGTTTACTCGATGTCAACTCAAGGTATACTTATTATAAACTTAGTGAAACTACAATTATACAGTGAATATACAGTAAGTATACTTCAAATATACACTAACATTCCTCCAAAAAATGAAGCACTAATCCTTCCTAAAATCGAACCTTTACAAGACCTAGTCACTAAATTAAGAAGTTTTTTTTTGAACATAAAAGCACGATATTTATATTGTTTAAAATACATTACAAAAGGAGGACATAGTCTTTAAGGCATTACTGTTGCCCATACTTGCCAAATAAGTACAAACACGGATAGAGATGCTTCTAACACTATTACATAATTCATGCTTGTTCGTCAATACTTCTTGTTCATCAAAATAACGTGGACGAGCATAATAGAAATATTTGGTAAGGGGGTGGGGGANGGGGGGGGGGGGGGGGGGGGGGGTGCTTGATTGCTTCTTTAGCCATCAAGTGTGCCACTTCATTGTCTTCTCTAAAGTTATGCTTGTGAGCACGTGATTTTTGCCCTACTAGAACTACTCCCAAAAAAATTCAAAATAAAATAGTTTTGTGTCGCTTGTGATTTATCTGTATTTGTCTGTGCATGTTTATTCTATTTTAATTAATGAAAAATACNGTTTTCTTGGTATTGTTGAGTAACTGAAGCTTGAAAGGTACAAGAATATGATTTCAAGTTGAATCTGGTTTATTCGACTGAGTTGATTGGTTATTTGCTTGGGTTTATTGATTGCTGGGTTGATTCTTGGATTCTCTGGTGTCATATGTTTCTGAAAATTCTCCCATCAGTTCCGCATATATCGGTGAAGAAGCCTGTATTGCTTTGTGATAACCTATGATCTAATCTCCACTACTGTTACGGAATGTTCCACCAATTTCTGTTGCATTATTGTTAGCAAAAAATGCTCCATCACAGTTTAGTTTAATCATGTTTTTAGGTGGTTTGTGCCACTTGATCTCAGTTTAGTAAAAGATAAAGGAAGAGAAACAGACAAGAAAAAATATATTCCATTGAGGAAGTTTGATTCTAGTTCATCTAGGAGTAAAATAGCTTAAGTTTTCTTGGTATTGTTGAGTAACTGAAGCTTGAAAGGTACAAGAATATGATTTCAAGTTGAATCTGGTTTATTCGACTGAGTTGATTGGTTATTTGCTTGGGTTTATTGATTGCTGGGTTGATTCTTGGATTCTCTGGTGTCATATGTTTCTGAAAATTCTCCCATCAGTTCCGCATATATCGGTGAAGAAGCCTGTATTGCTTTGTGATAACCTATGATCTAATCTCCACTACTGTTACGGAATGTTCCACCAATTTCTGTTGCATTATTGTTAGCAAAAAATGCTCCATCACAGTTTAGTTTAATCATGTTTTTAGGTGGTTTGTGCCACTTGATCTCAGTTAAAACTTTTTTGCTAGTGAAGGGGTTTCTTTCTATGAAGAAAATATATTCCCATGCAAGGTAAATAGGTCTATTAACATCCAAAAAACAGTTGAGATTGTTAATGTTGTTTCGATTTCTGTTTCTCCATATTTCCCATATGCAGTAAGGAAATAGGATTTCCCAACAAATCTTGTTAGAGTTATGACGAATGAAAAAATACCTTAGGTCAACAAGCCAATTTACATCACTAATTTTGTCTAGGGAAGTGAGGCCCATGTTCGTCCAGAATTGGCGTGTGAATGAGAAGTTCAGAAAAATGTGTTGGATGTTTTCTATTCCTAATATGCATGTGGTGCAAGTGGTGTCAAAATTCATACCAATTTTGTTTAGGTAAGCTCGACATGGAATACGCTTATGCATGCATTTCTATAGGAAAATTTTAATTTTATTTGGACAACGAAGGTCCCAGATCCATTTGAAGGAGTTGGAAGTATAATTGGGTTTATTGAGAATATTATAGCAAGACTTAGTAGAGAAGGTATCATTTGAGTTAATGCTCCAGCTAATTTCATCAATTTTAGAATTGTTATAGGTATTGGAGTTAATATTTTTAATTACCTCACGAGGTAATTCAAAAGATATGACCTTTAAATCTCAATTGTTGTTCTTGATTAGGTTCCCTATTGATAGGTTAAGGTCACTCTTATTGATAGGGCCCTCAATTGAGCTTCTTGGGGATTTGGAATTGTATATCCAATTGTTACACCATATATTCAATTGGGAAGTAGTATATGGATGCCAAAGAATACCTTTGTTACAAATTTTCCACCCCTTGAGAATGGATTTCCAAATGAAGGAAGTGTTAGTCATCGATTTAGAATTAGCATATTTGGCCATAATGGGATGGCACCAAGGAATGGAAGGGTATTTTAAGAGTCTCCAGGCTAGGCTAGAAAGAACGACCAAATTTTTCTCTTTTGCTTGACGAATACCCAACCCCCCTCAATTTTCCCCTAGAAACAGTTTCCCAGCTAATTAGATGAAGTTTTTTAGCAGTACTGGTGGAGCCCCAGATAAAGTCTCATTGAATTTTATCAATTGTTTTTAGGGTTTTCGGGGGAAGAAGAGTGTATTGCATTAAGTGAGAAGGAATTGCTCCTAAGGTATTGGATGCTAAAGTGGTACGTCCAGCCATATTAAGAAAAGGGCATTTCCAATGGGAAGGTTTGGAATGTAATTTGTCCAAGATGAATTGAAAATCTTTGGCTTTTGGGGAATGGTTAAGAATTGAAAAATCAAGGTATTTTCCAAATTCATTGGTAGATTTTATACCAAAAAGAGATGTTAGGAAGTTGGAGTGGTCTTTTGAGCAATTTTTAGGGATGACAATCCTTGATTTAGCCTTGTTGATGGCTAGACCAGATTCCATACTGAAAAAGTCCATGCATTTTTTTTATGCAACAACTTGTTTTTTTGTTTGCTTTTCCCGTAAGGGTTATGTCATCCGCAAATAAAATATGGGACAAGGAAGGGCCCCTATAGCCAATAAGAATAGGATCCCAATTTCTAAGATCAACTTGGTGGTTGATTAGTCTAGATAATACTTCAATACATAATGAATATATATGGGGAGAGAGGGTCTCCTTGACAAATATCCCTACTAGGTTGGAAAAAGTTTGTTCTTGTCCCATTCACTAAAATCCCCATTGAGCTTGTTGTTATGCAATGCATAATGAGCCTGGATATCTTTGGAGGAAAATTGAAGTATTGAAGGGTCTTGTAAATAAAGACCATTCTAACCTATCAAAAGCTTTTTCTAGGTCCAATTTAATAATCATATCCAAGTTGACTTTTTTTGAACGTCTAAGGTTATTCATAATCTCTTGAATTATGATGGCATTATCATTAGTTCTTCTATTTTTAATGAAGCTGGATTGCATCGGGCTAATCAGGAGGGGAGGAAAGGCTTTATTCTATTAGCAATTATTTTAGTAATGATTTTATAAGCAGTATTGCACAACCCAATAGGTCTAAAGTTGTTAGCATTAGGAAATTTGAGAATGAGACATAAGTATGCATCATTGATGCCACTAGGTAAGGATTGAATTTTGAAAACTTTGTAACAATAGAAAGTGAAAGAGTTTCATATTATATGCCAATATTTTTGGTAGAAGAATGAGTGAATGCCATCCGGATCTGGTGCTTTAAAAGGTTTGAAGGAAAAAGTTGCCTTAGTGATTTCCATGTTGGTAAGAGGGTAATCTAGGCAGCTTAGATCAACCTTCTTGGCACTTGAGGGATCAGTGATTGAATTGTTTTTTTGGAGAAGTAATCTTAGCAGTTTTAAAAGCTTCCACAAAGAAGGAAAGTATGTGACCAATTATTTGCTTGGGTTCAGAGATCCACTCCCCATTATTTTTGGTGAAGTACATTATGGCATTACAACGTTTACGATTTGATGCCATAATGTGAAAATATTTGATGTTGGCATCACTTTCATTAAGCCAATTACTCCTAGACCTTAACTTCCAAAAGTCATGTTCCATATGAAAAATATTATTATAATCCAGTTGGAGGTTGGACTCAAGATTTTGTAAGAAGTCACTATTTGATAATGGGGGAAAGTTTGGATTCCATTTAATCTAGCTAAGATTTGCTTCTTCTTTTTTAAAAATATCCTCAAACGTAGTATTTTTCCATTTTATAACCTCATTTGTAAAATAGTTTTGGGCATTAATCAAGTCTTTTCCTAGCCAACATTGCTTGACTATATTGATAAAATTCGGATGCCTACACCAAATTGTTTCCAAACGGAAAGGTTTATTACTACTATCTACATTCCTAGGGATAAGATTAATGAGTAGCGGATTATGATCCGAGTGGGTTTTTGGAAGGTGTACTACTACAACTTTAGGGTATAAGGAAATCCAATCTTTGTTAACAAAGATTCTGTCTAGACGTTCCATGATTAACCCTTTTAATTTTTTTCTATGGTTGGACCATGTATACTTACAACCTTTGTAGCGTAGATTTAAGAGGTCACATCGGTTAATACTATTCCAAATCGAGTGACTATGTCTACGGTTTATGGGGTTACCACCAAGTTTGTCATAAGAAGTGAGGACATCAGTAAAATCACCCCAAGTAACCAAGGCCCCTTAAAACTATTGCTAATATTTTCAATATTGTTCCACATTTCAAACACGTTTAAGCTATAAAATCAACATTTGACGTGTAGAATAGGATATTTCTTAACCCTCACTGTTTCTTTAAGTCAAATATTATAATTTGCAGGTATGAAATTAACTTGTGTTACATTGTTAAATTTATGAAAGGGAAAAATTAGATAGATTGTGGTGGTTTTGCGAGAGGATTTTAGCTACTGCACAAGATCGATTATATATTAGTTACTACCTTTATATCATCTTTGTAAAATATTAGCGGATGCCTTTCCTCACAAGGAACCTTTTGGATATGTAAATAGATTAGTGATTATGATAGAGAAATTAATGAAATATTTTGAGCTAGAAATACAATATGTAAATAGATTAGTGATTATATCTAAACAAGTCAAACTAATAGTTTGACCTCTTCCCGGTGCGAAAGATTACACTAAATACTGATGAAATATCGATATTCAAATCATTAGCAGTGGCGGAGCCAGAAATTTCGCGAAGGATGTTCAATATTTAATACATACATATAAAAAATAAGTTTGACCTATATATACAATATAAATTTCTATATATACAATATACTTTTTTGAGCAAGGATGTTCGGTGGACCACCTTTCAAAGTATGTGGTTGCGCCACTTCTTATAAGTGCTAATCATAAGTGCTTGTAGAGATTTTTAAAGATGATCAAGTAAAGTGGATGATGGGATATTCAGGGAAGGTAAATCTTACTTTTAGATTCATTACAGAATATGAAGTAGCAAACAAGGACAAAAATTAGCAAAAAGAAAAAATAAAAATAAACTATATACTTGTTGTCAAGCTTATTAAAGAAGAGGATATACAGCGTGACACACTTTTTTGAACATCGAAAATAAACGTTGGAAGCCACCTAGACCACTATTAAACATATCTTGCGGAAGGCAAATTAAAATGCATAGTTTGCTGAAAATAAAGGTCATAGACATGAAGAAGATTTGTGCTACGAAAATTTTAATTTAATTTTTCAATATGCAATAAAATAGAATAAGAACCTTTTGGAGTCAAATTCTTTTTACTTAGTTTAATTAAATTTGACAAAAATCAACACTAAATTCGGTTGATATACCAAAAAACTATTATATACTCCCTGCGATCCACGATAAGTGACCAATTTGCTTTTTTATTTTGGTCCAAAATAAGAGTCCATTTATATAATCAAGAAAAAATTCAATTTATTTTTCCAAAATTACCCTAATGCACATATCCCTAAAAATCATTTACTCCTCACATTTGAAAGTAAAAATTACCCTAAATGATACTAACTATACTGCAACATTAATGAAGGGTAGTTTAGTCACACTAGCTATTTTCGTCTAAAATTTAGTATTTCCTTAATGAGTGTGCCCAAAATAAATTGGTCACTTGTTATGGACCGGAGGAAATATTAATTAAGTTAATCTATAGTTAATAATTTCAACTTTTCGCAAACATTTTGAAATTCAAGACAGAAAGGGCCCTAACTGATCTGCAATAAAATGCTGGCTCAAAATCATAGAATTCAATTTCCAACTGGAGTTATTGAAAAGGCAATGGCTAGAAATGTCATTGTACTTCCAAGCTGGATAAAGTGATAAAGCCTCATCGTTGAGTTGGTTTACTCTTATCTTCATTGACTCACATTTCCCCTGCAAAGTCTCTCACCGAAAATGTCTACCCTTTCATCTTTCACCATATCCCCAACTTTCCTGCAAAACCCCACAAATAGAAATAGAAATAGAAATAGAAACAGAAATCCCTCAATTCAACTTCCAAACTTGTCTCTTAAACCACAAACAGCGCTCACCTTCTCACGACCCAGAGTATGCTTATCCACGAGAACGAATGCCGTTGCGGAAGAAGAAACTTCAGTCTCTACAACGGACCCCTCTTCGGAAGCCGCCAGACGACTTTACATTGGTAACATTCCTCGCACACTAACACCCGATGAGCTCCGTAAAATCGTTGAAGAGCACGCCGCCGTCGAGAAGGCCGAGGTATAAACATGTTTCACACCCAACCAACTAATTCATAAATTTGTCTTTTATTTCCTTTTTTTTAAACTTAAATTCTTTTACTTGGTATGGGTACTCTAAAAGATAACTGCTTCAACTTTTACTATATAATAAAATTTAAGTAACAATTAAAACAAACATAAAAGTGACAATACAATACAACAGGTAATAACCATCCAAATAAATTGTCTTATTTGATAATTAAGAAATCCCGAAGGTGAGCTGATGCACGGTTCAAACTCAGCAGATAATGGCCTGCTCCTATACCCTTCTCCACTTAAATACCCAACCTTTGCAAGTTCAAAATCAAAGGGTGCCGAATGAACTGGAAAACTTACTTACTGGAAAACCATTTACACAAATTCTCATATGCCTATTGGTGAACACATTTGCTGGTCTAGTAGAGTAAATGGGAGTAATTTGGGGAGCCTGTTTGACTCAAGAAAATCTCCAGAGAAGAGGCTTTTTCCCGTCTAATAGGTGCTACTTATGTGAGGAGGATCAGTTGAACATCTTTTTCTGCACTTTAGAATTTCTAGATAGTGTTGGGACCTTTTTCTGAGTATATGTGGTATCTCTTGGGCAATACCTAATAGCATAAGGGGTTTACTTGAGCCCTGGCAAGGGCAGAGGATTCAGAAAAACTTGAAGCAGATTTGGAATAGTACTCCTATATGCATACTTTGGATCTTATGGCCGGAGAGGAATAGAGCTTGTTTTGAAGGCCAAAGAGACCATATTTCTAGAATTAAGAACAAGTGTTTACCGAATCTTTTCTTATGGTGTAAGGGTAGTCTTATTGGTAGCACAAATGAGTATATGGATTTCTTGGACTTGCTAAGGGGCAGACAGTAGATGTGGTCTTTATGTTGTGATCTGCATTCCCTTTGTTATTGTACTACTTGTACCATCTTGATACCTTCTATCAATAAAACTTTTACCATTTCACAAAAAAAAGAAGAAGAGTTATTATAGAATATAGTAAATGGATATTGTGAGTGATTGCTACATTTGTTAACAATTTTTCTGTTTTGCATTGACAGGTTATGTATGATAAGTACTCGGGAAGGAGTCGTAGATTTGGGTTTGTTACGATGACGACAGTTGAGGATGCAAGTGCTGCTGTTGAAAAGCTTAATGGCACTGTAGGGGCATACATGCTTTACAATTTAACAACAACCAACATTAAAGTTACTGAGTTTTGTTCTAGAAAAGGATTGAGTTATTGACATGTTCCATTTTTTTAAACTCTTGAACAGGAAATTGGAGGTCGTGAAATCAAAGTAAACATAACTGAAAAGCCATTATCTTCTGTGGGTTCATCACTTCTCCAATCGGATGATTCCAAATTTGTTGACAGTCCTCACAAAGTTTATGTTGGTAATCTTGCAAAAAATGTAACTTCAGAGTCGCTCAAGAACTTCTTTTCTGAGAAGGGGAATGTTTTAAGTGCAAAGGTTTCCCGGGTTTCAGGGACCTCAAAGTCTAGTGGATATGGTTTTGTTTCATTCTCTTCTGAAGAGGATGTGGAAGCTGCAATATCATCTCTAAACAATGCGGTAAGTGTATCACTTTTATATTAGATACACGAGGATTGGTTTACTTTGATGCAATAAAATCCTATATTAGTATATGGGTTTGTTTCATTTTCTTCCGAAGAGGATGTGGAAGCTACATTATTATCTTCTAATGATGCAGTAAATTTATCACTTCCTATTAGATAGATGAGAAATGGCTTTCTCTAATGCAAAAAGTCCTATGTTCATCAGAAGTAAAAGATGACAACTTTTATTTAACATGCATTGCTAGGATTCGAGGTCCTCTATATTAGGTATGATGAAAAATATTCCATTTATCACTTCAATACCCAAAATTGTACCGAATATATTTTTCCATTGTATCCAATCCGTTTTGTAAAGGAGCAAATAGTTCATGAAAATCAGCTTCTCTAGAATTTTCACTCTCAATGGTGTGTCTTCCTGCAAGTAGACTTTACTGCAGGTGGTGTCCATTTCTGCTTTTCACAGGCCTAATTACTTGCAATGGAAAAACAATGCCTTTACTTTATTTGCTGGAAACGTAGAGTTGTAACTAATTAAGTATTGGGTTAAGAATTCATCGAATCAAACTTTTCTCTTTTTCCTTTTTCTTCTAAATGAGTTATATTTTTGTTACTAAGAGGTGTTTATCTTTTACAAGAGATTTAGAGGACTAGGGAATCATTGAATCAATGTTTCTCTTTTTTCGTTTTCATTTTATATGCTATGTTTCTGGTACTAAGAGGTGTTTATCTTTTATAAGAGATTTAGAGGCATTGGCTAAGAAGAGGTATATGAATGAGTGGTAAATGAAGTAGAGGGACTTGTTTAAGCTTGGTTCTTTGAGTAAACGTGTAAAAATACTGCACTGGCATGGTTGCTCCTGCTGATTGTGGAGTAGAGATGTAGTATATTAGATGACTTTTATGAGCTTTGATCTTATTTCTTTTTAGTTGCATTTGCCAGAATGAATACTTGAAGAAACTAAAGTTTTCCGTCTAGCGTGTCATTGCAGTGCCGGCATGTTTGAAAAACAATCTCATCCGTGTTTAGGCTCACAGCTGAATGTGATAAATAAGACTGATTAAACCACGTCACAATATGATTTTTCTACAAGTCTGTTTGAGTTGAATTAATATGTGACCAAGCTTGTGTTTCTCCGTCTTCTGCAGCTGCTTGACGGACAGAAGATTCGTGTAAATAAAGCATAAAACATAACACACCGTGCACTTAACCAAATGCTATGGAGATTTGGTATTTTTGTCCGAAGCAGAGTCAATGATCAAGCTGAGACATTTATAGGCTATAGAAGGTTACGTCTTGATTTGGTATGCAAAGAGCTTCAACCTACTGAATACTTCCATGCATTGTGAACAACACGTCTTTCTCATGTCTATGACTCTATTCTAGCATACTTCCATTTGAAAATGATATTGCAATGAAGAATATGCATTCTTGGCCACGCTTATGTAGTTGCTTTGCTTATTGGGCCGAAATGAAAATTGTTGTAAATGATCATTTTCTGACATTTGATGTTGTGGCTAGAACTTTACCATATCACTTCTTACAATTTCCGATTTCAACAATTTGCCAGGTGATTAGTACTTTCTAAGTTTCATATAAATGGCCAGCTCGCCGCATGTTGAGATCTTGGTTTGGATCATAAATGCCCCTAAAAATCGAAATACTTGGTGATATTACGTAGTTGTCGTGTGGACATACATTATTTGCAAACATTGAAATATTATAAGCAAATCAATATTTGTTTTATAATTTTGTCCATTATTTCAATTTCAACTTGAATTAGAGAAGTTGAAAAATCTTGCGCGAGGAGTATTTTAAGGTGAAATAATGGTTTCCACTCACAAATTATTAAAGGAGTAACATAATATGTACACAAGGGTTGATATGTAAATAAGCAAAGTGTAGATGTGGTTTTGCACTTAATAAAAGGTTGAAATTGAATTAGTTGTATTAATATATAGCAACACGTCTATCTCAAGCTGAGCACACTTTCCTCTTTTACCATAGCTGGACTATCTGATTAACTAACAAAAAAACTCAAGAATCAAGTGTTGACTCATTCATTGAGCTAAGAAGAGAGAATAGGGATCGAGCTGAATAGTTAGAGTTTAATTTTCTGATTCGTTTTCAATATCTCATTATTTCACTTACTCGAAGCTTCAATTATGGGAGTAACTCTAGGATACGTAAATATAGAAGTAATAGAGTTGTTGCACAATCATCCACTCTATCTACAAGTATTGTGTAACGACCCGATATGTCGTTTTGAGTTCTAGCTTCCCATTTCATGATTTGAAACCTTACATAGTGAGACCGTTTCGACATTTTTTTTGAAAATTCGAAAATCTGAACTTAAGAACTTTGAAATCTTTGCGTTTTGATCCTTGATTCTTGATTTTAGATATTATTGTGGTTATTTGAGCTTGCGAGCGGGCTCGTATGATGTTATTATACTTGTTTGGATGTTTGGAGTGGGGTTCGAGGTGCTCGGGTGAGTTTCAAGGTTGTTTCCGGCCATTTTTGCAGAATTTCCAGCAACTGATGTGCTGCTGGTGCGTTGTGCATGGCGGCGACGATAGTCTCGCATTCGTGAAGAGGAAATTGGGGCAGAGGTGTTTTATACAAAGTGAACGTGAGGGGGAGCTCGCGGACACAAGGGCCTGGGTGGATTTGGCCTTCGCGAATGCGGCAGCCCTCACGTGAATGTGTAGGCATGGGCTCTAGGGGCTGACACGACGGTTCTTCATCGCGAACGCGACAACAGTGTGGCGATCGCGGAGGCTTGGGGCGATAATTTTTGCGAACGTAGATAGACCTCCACGAATGCGGTGGCCAGTAACGTTCGCAAAACGTGACAGGTGCTTCGCGAACACGAAGAGCATCTGACGCCCAGGTATAAAAGGGGCGAAAAATCGGAATTTAGCCATTTTCGCCATTTTTTAGACCTAAATCATGAATTGAGGAGAATTTTGAGAGGATTTTTATCCCAACTTTATAGGTTAGTAACTTTAATTTATTTTTGGTTTATTTTCATGATTCTTCATAGATTTTTATCCCTAAATCTAGTACTTTTAAGTGCAGAAATTAGGGTTTTGAGGAAAAACTTATGAGGGCTAATTTTGGGAGTTTAGACCTCGATTTGAGGTCCAATTTTGATGCAAATCACATATTTGGTATCGGGAAAGAATGGGTAAATCGGAATTGGTCCTAATTTCGGATTTCGACCATGTGGGCATGGGTTAACTTTTTATTCCAAATGTGATAAAGATCGAACCTGTTTGTTACTAAGATAGCTTCTAAAGCTTGTTTTGACTTGTTCGAGTATTAATTGGTTAGATTTGAGTTTTTTCCGAGGCTTGTTCTAAAGGAAAGACGATTTGGAAGGTTGAATTGTTCTTGAAATAGATAAGTGTCTTGGTTAACCTTGATTTGAGGGAATTACGATGTAATTGTGTGTCTATTTACCACGTGCTATGCGGCAGCGTATATGCAAGGTGGAGAGTGTATAGAACTAGCCTTGTTTGTGTTATGTTGTTTTTATGTATCATATCTTACTTGCTTTAATAGATCGTGAAATTCTTGATCTTATTCTTGTTGGTGGCTATGTTGGGATTATTGAAATATTAAGCGTTGACAATTCTTGAAATGTTGGTTTGACTATTGGTGCAAAAGTGATAGTTATATCTCTTATGGTGTGTTATATTTAATAACTCTTGTTGATATTGTTGTTGCTCTTCATCTTACTTTGTACTGATTTTACATGTTCTTGGTGAGGATGAGTGAATATGCACGATGAGTGCTTCCGTACTGTGAGGTTGAGAGATGTTGCACGATGGGTGCTTCCATGCTGTGAGGTTGAGAGATATTGCACAGCGGGTATTTTCGTGCTATGAGATTGAGAGATATTGCACGAGGGGTGGATCCGTGCTTGTGAGGAAGAGAGTATATGTACGGCTGGTGTTTTCGTGCTATTGTTGTGTTACCTTATGTTCCTTACTTTTACTATATGGATTGAGGACTTGGCTATGTTGTTTTGTGGTTGTTTTGAAAGGTTTGTTTGGAGTTGCTTGTGTAAGCATAACCATTGTTTACCATAGTAGTTTCTTTCATTATTTTCTCGGCCTATATCTTCTTGATATTACACTTGTTATCTCTCTTGTTATCTATCTTGTCATCTTGCGTGTTACTTTACTTGTCATCTTATTTGTTACATCTCTCGTTACTTTCTTGTCATTAATTGCATAAGTTTGTATGTAAGTGTCTTGTCTTAGCCTCGTCACTACCTCGTTGAGATTAGGCTCGACATCTATGGAGTATATTAGGTCGGTTGTATTCATACTACACTTCTGTACTTTTTGTGTAAATTTTGGTGTTTGACCTAGTGGTACCTAGAGAATGGATTAGCTTGCTGGTTGTAGAGACTCGAGGTAGTGCTGCACTCTTGTTCATAGACCTTGGAGTCACATATCTTATCGTCATGTTACTGATTATTTGCTTCAAACACTATATTATTTATTCCAGACTTTGTATATAGTAGTTCTATAGACGCTCATGTACTCAATGACTCTAGTTCTGGGAGGTGTTAGACGGTTGTCGGATTTAGACTTGTTATACATTTCTACATTTTTATTTATTATTTATTATATCATGTCATTTTATGTTATGTTTTGCCCGTTATTTCTATTATTTGTTGTCGTGCCTAGCAAATGGTGTTATGCTCGATCACGACCCTTTAGTTGGGATTTTGGGCCTTGACAAGTTGGTATCAGAGCACTAGGTTGCATAGGTCTCATGAGTCATGAGCAAGCTTGGTAGAGTTTTTGGATTGGTACGGAGACATATGTACTTATCTTCGAGAGGCTATAAGACTTTAAGAAACTTCACTTTTTTATAGCAAAGATACCACTAAGCTGGTTGCTTAGTGGTGTTTTTTATTAATAATATCCAAATGAAAAATACAATATGTCAGGGGGTCTCACAATATGAAGAAAATTAACATAAGAGTGTACATCAAACCTATTACCAAATCTAAGTATTGCACTCAACTTTGGTAGTACATAATGCACTATAAAGGCATGCATACTTGGACATTGCCAAACAATCACCTGACCATCGTAAGTCCATAGCGAGCATCCCATGCTGCAAAGTTGCACAATCCTAAATGAGTCTGAGTACTTCAATTCCACATGAATATAATCTTCAATTGGCACCTGGAACTTGCATTATAACCAGGCGCAATTAAGCGCATTTTCAAGGTCCAGCTCAATGTCACCTTAGTGAACATATGGTTTTGCTCCTCTAATTCATGATTGTACATGTCAGATAGGGATAAAAACCAACTGAATATACCTTCATCATGTCTAATACATGTAGCCTGTGCCTGGTAGTTCCTCCACATAATCGTCAAGCAGCCCGCAAATAGCTTCAAAATCCCATGTCCAAATTTTCCAAAATTGGACAATGAATGTATCATGCGTGTTGCCATGAGAATTATGCATTCCCAAGTAGTGGTATTACCTGTTTGTAGAGCCTCCAGGATACTTATGGTGCTAAGGTCACATAATATAGGGTATAGCAGTCCTTCAATACCAAACTGGTACTCTAAGCTAGAGTGCCTGTTTGGTCTGTTTTGGTAAGGCTTCTTCCATATCTTGTATTGTATTGGTTTTAGCTGGATTATGTGGTGGTTACACCTACAGGGGATGAGCATAAACGATGCTAATACGACCCTAATAAGCTTGGCCACAATATAGAATCCAACTATATCAAAGGCGCCTGCAAAACAAAAAACTAGGTTAGTATATAATGCCTTCCTACTCTCCTCCAGAAGGATTTAGGTAGAAAGTGAAGTGTATTCTCCAATGCCTGGGACCATCACCTCATCTCCAGTACACCTCATCCTCTTTCCCCTTACTACAATGTTTAACTACATCATCTTCTTTCCTTCACTACCCATAATCATCTAGAGTTTGGCTTAGCTATTCTTACTCTAATGTAGGGTATTTGTAGCTTGTCACTATTCAAAATCTTCCTTCTTTGAGTATCTAATCCCTCAAATGAATTCACTAGGACCATGCCATATTGTTCTATAGCCTGATTGGCAAGGTGATCTGCTAGATTATTCCCCTATCTCATCACATGTACTATTTGGAAAACCCCTCTAGCCAGTAGTGTTTTGATCTCCTCCACCTGATTGGCAATGCTCCATGGTGGTTCCCAAACATCCTCCAGTACATTTCTCATCAATAATGAGTCAGTTTCAATCAAACATGGAGGAAACTAGGCATGAATTATATATCTTAGTGCATCTAGAATTGCCTGAGCTTCTGCTATATTATTGGTAACATCTTCAAGTTCATCTGTCTGGGCATAAATAAGAGCACCAACACCATCTCTAATACAGAATGCATATGAAGCTCTACCATTGTCCTCTCTACATGAACCATCAGAGTTACATTTGATCCACCCCATTGGAGGAAGTTGCCATAACACGTTTATATACTTCAACTTAGGGACATGTTGCATTAGTTTGTCATGAAAATACGGCCAGTTGGTTGTG